ACCCTCCCGAAACGCCCTCGCGGGGAAGGTGTTTTTGGGGGTCCATGTTGGTTCCCCCCGCATCTCCGGCAAAGCCTGCCTTGGGGTTTGTGTGAAAAGGGGCGGGTGTCCCCCGGACCCCCCGCAAAAATCGTCAGATAATGTTTTTCCCAGCCGTCCTGTGGTGTTGGGTCCTCGTTTTGAAGAGACGGTCACCGCGTTCTCCTCTCCTCCTCTGCCCCCTCCTCCTCTCCACCGTCCGCATGCGTCCCGCACACCCAGTACAGCGTTTCGTGGCCCTCCTCCCCTCCCCACCCAGTACAACGTTTCGTGGCCCCATAGGGAGCCCCACCGAAGGTCCCAGTGCTACCGTCCGCATGCGTCCCGCACACCCAGTACAGCGATTCGTGGCCCCATAAAGAGCTCCACCGAAGGTCCCAGCGCTACCGTCCGCATGCGTCCCGCACACACCTCCGCATGCGTCCCGCACACCTCCCCGTCCTCCCTTGGTTTCGTCCACCCAGTACAGCGCTTCGTGGCCCCATAGGGAGCCCCACCGAAGGTCCCAGTGCTACCGTCCGCATGCGTCCCGCACACCAAGTACAGCGCTTCGTGGCCCCATAGGCAGCTCCACCGAAGGTCCCAGTGCTACCGTCCGCATGCGTCCCGCAAACACCTCCGCATGCGTCCCGCACACCCAGTACAGCGCTTCGTGGCCCCATAGGGAGCCCCACCGAAGGTCCCAGTGCTACCGTCCGCATGCGTCCCGCACACCCAGTACAGCGATTCGTGGCCCCATAAAGAGCTCCACCGAAGGTCCCAGCGCTACCGTCCGCATGCGTCGATTCGTGGCCCTCCTCCCCCTCCTCCCTGCGTTTCGCCCACCCAGTACAGCGCTTCGTGGCCCCGTAGGGAGCTCCACCGAAGGTCCCAGCGCTACCGTCCGCATGCGTCCCGCACACCCAGTACAGCGATTCGTGGCCCTCCTCCCCCTTCTCCCTGCGTTTCAGCCATCCAGTACAGCGCTTCGCGGCCCCATAGGGAGCCCCACCGAAGGTCCCAGTCCTACCGTCCGCATGCGCCCCGCACGCCCAGTATAGCGTCTTGTGGCCCCATAGGGGACCCCTCGAATCTAGTGCTTGTTTAGGGGGGGAGTCCACAAATAGCGTTGTTCCAAAGTGGGCGGAGGCGTTGCCCCCCACCACACCCGAAAACAAAAGCAACATACAAAAATGGGCATGGCCCCCCATAAAAAAATAGCCTGCCGAAGGACCCAACCATACGCAGTTGTGAGTAATGCTGGTGTGAGTACCGTCTTCGGTGGATCTCCCTATGGGGCCACGAACCGTTTGAGGGGTGTGCCGAAATGGGTGTGGGGGCGGCATGCGAACGTTGCCACTGGGGCCTTCGGTGGAGCTCCTGGGGCCACGAAACGTGTGGGGGTGGCAGCCACTGGGGCCTTCGGTGGAGCTCCCTGTGGGGCCACGAAACGTGTGAGGGGTGTGCCGAAATGGGTGTGGGGAGGCATGCGAACGCAGCCACTGGGGCCTTCGGTGGAGCTCCCTATGGGGCCACGAAACGTGTGAGGGGTGTGCCGAAATGGGTGTGGGGAGGCATGCGAACGCAGCCACTGGGGCCTTCGGTGGAGCTCCCTATGGGGCCACGAAACGTGTGAGGGGTGTGCCGAAATGGGTGTGGGGAGGCATGCGAACGCAGCCACTGGGGCCTTCGGTGGAGCTCCCTATGGGGCCACGAAACGTGTGAGGGGTGTGCCGAAATGGGTGGTGGGGAGGCATGCGAACGCAGCCACTGGGGCCTTCGGTGGAGCTCCCTATGGGGCCACGAAACGTGTGAACGGTGGAGTGAGGGGTGTGCCGAAATGGGTGGTGGGGAGGCATGCGAACGCAGCCACTGGGGCCTTCGGTGGAGCTCCCTATGGGGCCACGAAACGTGTGAGGGGTGTGCCGAAATGGGTGGTGGGGAGGCATGCGAACGCAGCCACTGGGGCCTTCGGTGGAGCTCCCTATGGGGCCACGAAACGTGTGAGGGGTGTGCCGAAATGGGTGGTGGGGAGGCATGCGAACCCAGCCACTGGGGCCTTCGGTGGAGCTCCCTATGGGGCCACGAAACGTGTGAGGGGTGTGCCGAAATGGGTGGTGGGGAGGCATGCGAACGCAGCCACTGGGGCCTTCGGTGGAGCTCCCTATGGGGCCACGAAACGTGTGAGGGGTGTGCCGAAATGGTGGTGGGGAGGCATGCGTGGGGAGGCATGCGAACCCTGCCACTGGGGCCTTCGGTGGAGCTCCCTATGGGGCCACGAAACGTGTGAGGGGTGTGCCGAAATGGGTGGTGGGGAGGCATGCGAACGCAGCCACTGGGGCCTTCGGTGGAGCTCCCTATGGGGCCACGAAACGTGTGAGGGGTGTGCCGAAATGGGTGGTGGGGAGGCATGCGAACGCAGCCACTGGGGCCTTCGGTGGAGCTCCCTATGGGGCCACGAAACTGGGTGGTGGGGAGGCATGCGAACGCAGCCACTGGGGCCTTCGGTGGAGCTCCCTATGGGGCCACGAAACGTGTGAGGGGTGTGCCGAAATGGGTGGTGGGGAGGCATGCGAACGCAGCCACTGGGGCCTTCGGTGGAGCTCCCTATGGGGCCACGAAACGTTTGAGGGTGTGCCGAAATGGGTGGTGGGGAGGCATGCGAACCCTGGAGGGAGGAGGGCGAGGAGAAGGAGGAGGAGAAGGAGAAGGAACGCGGGGACCGTCTCTTCGAAACGAGGACCCAACACCACAGGATGGTTGGGAACAACATTTGAGGGGAGGTTATTGTTTATTGATCAAGAGGAGGAGGAGGAGGAGGAGGAGGAGGAGAAGGAGGAGGAGGACGAGGACGAGGACGAGGACGAGGACGAGGAATAGGGCGAGGACGAATACGAGGACGAGGACGAGGACGAGGACGAGGACGCGGACGGGGACGGGGACGGGGACAAGGACGAGGACGAGGAGGACTAGGAAGAGGAGGAGGGGGGTGTCCGGGAAAAGTCCTCCGCCCCTTTCCCTGTTCCACATCCACGATGCGGGAACTTGAGGGTAGGTTAGTGTTAAAAATCCTACGCCCCTCTCCCTCCTCTTCCTCTGCTGCGTGGTCCCCTAAGCTCGGTGCTGCAGCTTGTTTAAACGCGATGTTCCAGTCATTGTTCTATTGAGCTGACGACGGGGAGGTTTTCCTCCATACTCCATGTGCGTATGGCCCAGGGCCGTTGTAGCACGATGGATTCACCCCCGCACCAATCGCGAAGCTGGCTCGTCGACGGTGGACTCATCATCCTCCCTCGCTGATCCTCCCACGGGGCTCCACACGGACATGACTCAAATGCGAAGGTTGGGCAAGGTGAAACACGGTGGGCGGCGATGCAAAAAGGCAGCCATTCCATGGAGATCGGCCAAGCCAGCGACGCAGAGATTGGCGGCGGGGGCACGGCAGGAACGATTCCGGTTACCGCGACGTCCGTGTGGATCCTTTGGGTCTGGATTTTGAGCCCCCGATCTACAGTCGGGGCCCTGCAGAAGGAACCCTTTTCGTTGGGGAGGGGCTCCGCGTTCCTTAAGTGTTTCGCAGCTTGCCTCGGGTGTTCCTTATGTCTTCGATCGGAAATCGAAGTTTGACTTATGGAAAAACAGGGGCCTCGTTCCTTATTCAGGGTTCCTTAGGTCAACACCCCGACTGTTTTTTGTTTTCCCAGCGCGATATTTTGGAGGAGAAGGAGGAAAGCTGAGGGGACGAAGGCGGACAGACAAGCCAAGATCGCGAGCAAATGCAATGAACTGGCCAGTGCACGCCTGGTCGAGAAGGCAAGTTAAACTCACTCGCAGAGGTCAGAAACTCTAGAGTCCAGACCACAGTGGGCCAGCGCCTCGCAAAATGCAACACTACCAAACCCGATGGGCTCTGTCTGAAACCCCTGGCATAAGCGAGTACACAAACCCAAAGGGAGAAGAGTAGACATAATACCGGCTGATGGTGGATGAAATTCCAAAGCGATTGCGGGAGACTCAGGTCCTTCTCAGGGCAGAGGACCAATCATCAAGCTCCACAGCCATTCAATTACAGGACCGTCCCAATGGAATAGAACTGGCAAGGCAGAGAGTTGCATCCCGATGGCAACTAGAAGATAGCGGAAAAAGATAGAAAGAAAAGCTGTCGGCAGACAGGCGCGAGCCAGCCCAACAGCTGCAGGATGCCCACACGGCCATGCCATGTGGTGGCGGCAAGCCAGCTAAGGCAGCGCGAGCTAGCAGCGGCTCCCTGGAGAGAGCGGCCAACGAGACCGGGCGGCACATCAGTGGCCAGCCCCCACGTGCAGCCGGCGCAAGCGCCAATTGTACCCACTGGGAGTGGCCATCCCGGCGCACTCCGTGCCACGACCCCGGGAGAGGAGGGGGGAGAGAGAGGCGAGGACGGAGAGGAGAGGAGAGGAGGGGTCTGCCTCGCCGAGCCTCGTGGCTCAGGCACGCGCGGCGCTCCATCCATCCGGCCTGGACGCACTGGCCGGAGATTCAAACGAGGAGGGGAGGAGGGGGGGAAGGAGGACGGAGGACAGAGAGGAGAGGAGGGGTCTGCCTCGCCGAGCCTCGTGGCTCAGGCACTCGCGGCACACCATCCAGCTGGCCTGGACGCGCTGGCCGGAGATTCAAACGAGGAGGGGAGGAGGGAGGGAAGGAGGACGGAGGACGGAGGAGAGGAGAGGAGGGGTCTGCCTCGCCGAGCCTCGTGGCTCATGCACGCGCGGTGCTCCATCCAGCCGGCCTGGACGCACTGGCCGGAGATTCAAACGAGGAGGGGAGGAGGGAGGGAAGGAGGACGGAGGACGGAGGACGGAGAGGAGAGGAAGGGTCTGCCTCGCCGAGCCTCGTGGCTCATGCACGCGCGGCGCTCCATCCAGCAGGCACGCACTGGCCGGAGAGTCAAACGAGGGGGGAGGGAGAGAAGGAAGGACGGAGGAAGGGAAGAGGACGGAGGGGAAGGGGATTACGATCCTCCAGCGAGCTCTCGAAGCTTGAGCCTGAGCGCACTGCGGCACGCGAGTGCCCCGCTGGAGGCTGCGTGGCGGGCCCAGCAGTGCGTGAGATACACGCCGCACGTTGCCAGAGCTCGGCGGCGCAGCTCCGGCGCGGTCGCCTCGGAGCACGGCGGGGCCATCAACATGAAACCTGCCAGTCGCAATTCTGGGGCATCCAGACGCGCGAGCCCCAGCTCGCGGTACACGGCTGCGGACACATGCGGGCAGTCTGCATAATGCTCGATAGAATCATCCCCCGCAGTGCATCCAAAAAAACAACTGGCGCGCCTCTGGAACCGGCGGCCCGTGGCCCAGCCGTTCCACAGGGTCCTGATGCAGGCAGCCAGCGCCCGCGGGGGGCACAGCCGAGCCACCGCGGGGAAAGCGGACATGACGCGGTCCAGCATGACGTCCTCTGGGAGGCCGCACGCCCACCTCGAGAGCCGCACGCGCAGGAACGCACGCAGCTCGAGAGAGCGGTCAGGGGCGATCAAGCGCACGCAGGCGCGCTGCCAAAGCCGGCGTATACGACCCGCGTTCCCGGCTCTGGTCTCCAAGGCGATGCGCGCGGGCGTCAGCCCGCGTCCTTCGAAATGCTGTCTGGCGGCGTCCAGCTGGAGAAGGAACGCCTGCTTGTACCAGGGTGCCCATGTGCCCAAGCGCTCGAGCGACTGCGTGGCGTAGAGCCGCACGTGGCGGAGTCTCGCGGCCCGTTCTGCGACCCGGAGGCCGCCTTCCGACGCCGCCTCCCACTGGCAGACCCTGTACTTCGCCGCGAGAGATACTGCGTGCAAGTCCGGGACTGAAGCGGGGAAGCCCAGTAGCGGCAGACCGTGAACGGCAGCCGGCGGCGCCCACCGGTAGGGGCCAGGGTACAGCGACTGCATCGCCTCGGCCTCGAGTTTCGCCCACCACGACGGCGGTGCATCCAGTTGCGCCAGGAAGCCCAGCGTGGAGAACGCATACACCGAGTAGGCTAACGTGTTGGCGCACATCCCGCCTCCAGAGCGGCCCCATTCCTGCGCGCGCGCCTTGAACTTCGCGCACGCTGGTTCCCACCCGTGCTCTGCGCGTGCCGGCCCCAACACGAAACCCAAGTACTTGGCCCTGTGAGCGAACCGGATCCCGCCCCAGGAAGGCGCTCGCGCCGTGACATCCTGCCGCGCGCTCTCGGGGTCCCCCGTCCGGAGCGGCACCCAGTAGGTCTTGCCGATATTCAATCGCAGACCCGAGATGTCAACGCCCCGACTGTACCGACGCAGAGATTGGCGGCGGGGGCACGGCAGGAACGATCCCGGTTACCGCGACGTCCGTGTGGATCTCCTGGATCGGGGGTTTGAGCCCCCGGTCCACGGCGTCAATGCCCAACGCAGCACGCGCAGAGCGCTCGGGCCCCGCTCTCGGGCAGCACACGCCTGCCTTGGAGCTCGACGGGCCAGGAGCCGGCGCGGTCGGCACGGAGAGGTGCCTTTTCCCCGCTGCCGAACGCGGCGTGGTGTGCCCTCCACGGCAGGATCTGATCTCTCGCAAGTCGGGGGCGGAAGAGAGGGGGGTGATGACTAGGGGGGGGTGGATATCATGGCGGGGGCCATGATATTTCCCCAGATTTCATGGCGCCTCTTCTTGTTTCATTACGTCCCTGGCCCCCCCGCTGGGCCGCGCACATGCCGCCGGTCATGATTTGCCCCCCCCCCCTCTTGGACACCCCCTTCTTGGCCGCTCCCGAGCAAGCGGGGGCGACGGGTGGAGTGGGGAGACAAGCAATGGCATGAGCATCTCATCTCGGAGGTCCGCGAGGACTGCTCGGCACGGCGCGGGGCCCCCTCCCCTCTGGCGCTCGGAGCGCGCCAGGGGCGGCGCCAGAGGCGCCGCCAGGGGGCCTCAGCGCCGATCCGAGAACTCCGCGCGGACCTCCGAGTTTTCATGTTTATGTGGCTGTTCGTCCCCCTAGGGATAGGGGACCACATCCGAAGCCTACCCCTACCCCGCACGGTTTCTGAAGGGGAGGGGGTTCGCTTCGCTCGGGAGCTCCCGAGCGAAGTGAACCCCACCCTCCACCTCAGAAACGGGGGGGGGGCAGGGGTAGGGTTCGCATGTGGCCCCCCAAATGCCGGCGGGTGGGGGGAGTCGGGTCTGTGCAATTCGTGCGGTCGCAAATCATGGAAGTGTAGTGTACTTTCGCAATTCCTTCGTTGCGTCGAGCAGCGTTTGGGAGTGGAGGAGATAGCGGTTCAGCATCGATTAGCGTCGAGTCTGCATCGATTAGCGTCGATGTAGCTTCGACCAGCGTCGATTCGCCAAAGCCGACAAGATGGTATGGGAAGCTCCATGAGTTGCCACCGAAGATTCAGCGCGTGGCATATTTTTCTCCATGGCTGTATCATCATCCCGTCTCAGTTGGCGCAATCGAAGTCAGCTATGGTCGTGCATGTTTCGAGGAGGTTGGCTTGTGTAGGTGATTTGCATGCAGAGATCGAAGCTTACACAGCCATGCCCTGCAGCTGCCGCACTGAATCTGCACAATGTTCAGCAGTGTTGACAGTTTCGCGTCCTCCTTTTGATTGCCCACGCGTCCATCCAGATGCTCGGCTCTGCGAATGCACGCCAAAATCAATGTCCAGGCAGCCTTGGGATACAGACATGGCTCGGTCAACCTTTTTTTATAGCGCTGACAGGGATCTCTTTCCATCAGTTGGAAAGTCGGTGATTTCTTTTCACGTGCGGTTGTATCTTTGATTGGTGTACTTGACGTTGCAGATGTCAGCTCTGATTCGTCGTGCGTGTTACGCACAGGCCGATGCATGCCGAGGGCCGTATACAGAAACCGAAGCTTACAGCAATCGCCGCGAACAATCGAAGATCAAACATTGCCCCCCTCTTGCCAGTGGATTCGCCCCAGGCCGTTCCAGCCATTGGTCCGCATCTGTGTCTTCTGTATGATCGAAGACGCCTGCGATGAACCATCGCCGCTCCTCGCCGTTTGGCCAACATTTGCCCAGAAACATTGGGCCACCATTTGCACATGCTACTGGACTATGTGTTCCCCCAGCTGTTGTGGAAACTCTTGGGGGGGCAACGCGTGGGGGGGAAGGAAGAGCGAGAAAGAGAGAGAGAGAGAGAGAAACGAAAGAGAGAGAGAGAGAGAGAGCGAAAGCGAGATTGAGAGTGAGAGAGAGGGAGCGAGAGTCAAGTTGGCCAGGTCGAGCCAGCCAGAGGGCCCCGCCCGTCCCCCATCCACCCGCCACACACACACACACTGTGATCAAACGTAGCTCAGCTTGATATTCGGATCGGAGCGCGCCACCACCGAGCGATCGGAAGGCGCTCGCGCGCGGCCCCGCCTCCGACGTCTTGCCGACGAGACAACGAAGGGTCGTTCCGGGGGCGGGAGCGGCAAAACGCCCGCTGCTGGCCTTTGGTTGTGTTTTGCTGTTCGTTGCGGCAGGGAGGCACAGGAGAACAGGCAGAGCAGAACGAACATCGAACCGAATCTGGAACTGCCAAAGCACACATCTAGGCCCAGCCCTGGCGAAGGCGAGGCACGCGCCGCGCTGACAGCGCTGCTTTCCCTATCACAGGCTGCGCAACATGTGGTCGGGATTCCGCCCGCTCTCGCCCTGCACCGCTGCCGCTGTCGCTCCCATGCGACTCGGCAAGGGCACCTTGCGACGCGCCCGCGAGGCAGCGCCACTTCCAAGCAGCACGCGCACGGGCCTTGGGCTCGGGCGACGAGTCGCCCGTTCGCGCGGCTCCCCCACAGTGGGCGAAGGGCAGATACGCGCCGCGCCGATGCGGGAGCGTCCCTCGGAGACCCACGGCCCCAGGAGGGCCCCAGGAGAGTCCCAAGGTGCTCAAGAGGCCCTAAGAGGGTCGGGGATGGACAGACCTCCTACTCTGACACGTCGATTAAGGAATTGGCCGTTTTCGGTTCGCGAGAGGGCGTCGCGGCCGTCATTTTTGCGGGTCCAGGTCCGTCGGTTTCGGTCCCAGGTCGTTTTCACTAAGGGGAGGTCTACTAAAGGGAGGTTTGTCCACCGCCGAGAGGGCCCCGCGACGGTGGAGCAGGCATTCACAACAGGCTCGAGGGCTCCAACTGGTTACCGTCGTAGCGTTGTTTCAAGCGCCCAGTATGCTCTGCGAGCAGCTTTGACACTCTCGTCGCGGTCATAGTGTGTAAAGGTATGTGTCCGCGGTGCTATGTCAAGTTAGGTCATCAATGGCATTCCCAATGAAGGTTCCGTTGCACATTAGCTCATCTAGAACCATAGCGCGCGTTCGGCGCACGCGTGGTTTCAGTCGTTGGTTGGGGCCCACGCTGGAAGTTGCACAGCGACAAGAAGATTGGGCAGGCAACGCTGTCTAATGTAAAGAGTTAGTGTGGGGGCGTTTCCTGAGGAGTGTGCCCAGGACGTTTCAGACCCTGGAGGCCCCCCTTATGTGATAAGGGCGTCGGTCAGATCCATGGCCAAGCCATCACTGGTGCTCCACCGGCTGCCAAACCCTGGATATTCATCTGAGGAGTAGTGGTACTACTACGACCGAACTGGGTACGGGAAGAATGAGGACGAAGATTGACATCAGTCTTATCCCATTTTGAACAGGAGTTGTTGTCGGTCCTGTTGTGGGCTTTCCATTTGAGAGTGAAGGCCGCCTGCCCAACACGGGCCGCTGTGGGTGTTGAGCAACAGTTGTTGCTGGGCATCGTACCCATTTCGGGCGTCCAAAGGTTCTTCACCGTACAACATATCGCTATGACCAGCGAAATTGCAAATAGTGCCGCGCCATCGGCAGGGGCTGCCCTGGCGGCGCGGCGCCCCAGCCCCACGAGCGGTTGCGGGCGCGCTTCGAGCGCGACTTGGAGGAGTTCCGCCGCGCGAGCTCTGGACGGGATGGGGCCCCTCCTCCTTCCCCCCCTCCGCCTCCTCCTCATCATCACCTTTTCCCTCCTCCACCTCCCCCTCCTCCTCCTCCTCCTTTTTTCCCCCTTCTCCTCCTCCCCGTTCTCACCCGCCCCCCGGTTCCCCTTCCTCCTCCTCTCCTTCCTCCTCCCCTCCTCCTCCTCCTCCTCCTCCTCCTCCTCCTCCTCGTCATCCTCCCTCGTCTCCCTCGTCCTCCTCCTCCTCCTCCTCCTCCTCCTCTCCTCCTCCCTCCTCCTCCCTCCTCCTCCACTCCTCCTCCTCCTCCTCCGCCTCCCCCTCCTCCTCTCATCGAGGACGCCGGCGGCGCATCACCGGCCGCTCCCTGGGAGTTTGTCGAAGTGGTGCGCAGCATCGAACGTCGTGACGCTCCAGGGGCCTCTTGGTGGCGTCCCAGGGGCTTCTTGGAGACCTCTTGGGGCCCTCTTGGGGCCTCTTGGGGCTCTCTTGGGGTTTGTTGGGGGCCTCCAGGGGGCCTCTTAGGGCCTCCTGGGGGCCTCTTGAGCCGAAAGCTCGAAATGTTCATTCGGGTTCCCCTTCTGGGCCTCCTCTTGGGGCCATCCTGGGGCCCCTCTTGGGCCGTCCCGGGGGCCTCTTGGGCGGTCTGGGGGCCCTCTTGGGCCGTCTTGGGGCCGTCTTGGGGGCCTGTTGGGCCGTCCTGGGGCGATCTTGGGGGCCTCTTGGGCCGTCGTGGAGCGTGGGTAAGCCGAAATGGCGTGAACGTGTAAATCCTTCAAAAACCATTGAACAATCAATGATTTTTGCTTCTCGTCGCTGTCTTGGGGGTGCTCTTGGAGCCCTCTTGGGCCGTCTTGGAGGCGTCTTGGGCCGTCTGGAGGCCATCTTGGGCGTCTTGGAGCGATCTGGAACCGTCTGGAGGCTCTCTTGGACTGCTCGGGACTCTCTTGGACCGGCTTGGGGCGCCCTTGGGTCGTCCCCGGGCCGTTTGAGACCTTGAAGGGGGCCGCCGGCAGAGTGGGGCCGGCGGCAGAGTGGGGCCCCCTCGGAGGGACTTTCAGGAGGTTTTTGACCAGGCACTGGAGAAGGGGGCAAAGACTGTGCCAGACACTGTGTCAGAGAGGTCTCGCACGGCCCAACCCGCAGGGCGGGAGCGGCCGGATCGAGGACGCCGGCGGCGCATCACCGGCCGCTCCATGGGAGTTTTTCGAAGAGGTGCGCAGCATCGAAAGTCGTGACGCGGCGCGTATGCCAGCTATCAAATAGCCGTCGCCCCATCCCGCCACCGTGCTTGGGTTTTGGGTCGGACGGAGTCCTCATGGACGCTTCCTGGGGTCTCTCGAGAGGGCTCTCGGAGGCTTCTGCGGGGCAGTTTAGGGGCCTCTTGGGGGCGTCCCAGGGGCTTCTTGGAGACCTCTTGAGGCCCTCTTGGGGCCTCTTGGGGCTCTCTTGGGGTTTGTTGGGGGCCTCCAGGGGGCCTCTTAGGGTCTCCTGGGGGCCTCTCGAGCCGAAAGCTCGACATGTTCATTCGGGTGTCCCTTCTGGGCCTCCTCTTGGGGCCATCCTGGGACCCCTCTTGGGCCGTCCCGGGGGCCTCTTGGGCGGTCTTGGGGCCCTCTTGGGCCGTCTTGGGGCCGTCTTGGAGGCCTGTTGGGCCGTCCTGGGGCGATCTGGGGGGCCTCTTGGGCCGTCGTGGAGCGTGGGTAAGCCGAAATGGCGTGAACGTGTAAATCCTCCAAAAACCACTGAAAAATCAATGATTTTTGCTTCTCGGGGCTGTCTTGGGGGTGCTCTTGGAGCCCTCTTGGGCCGTCTTGGAGGCGTCTTGGGCCGTCTGGAGGCCATCTTAGGCGTTTTGGAGCGATCTGGAACCGTCTGGAGGCTCGCTTGGGCCGTCTTGGAGCTCTCTTGGCCCGTTTTAGGGCGCTCTTGAATCGCCCCCGGGCGCCGGAACTGTTCAGGGAGGGGGGGTCCGCCGGCAGAGTGGGGCCCCCTCGGAGGGACTTTCAGGAGGGCTTTGACCAGCCACTGGCGAAGGAAGGGGAAAGATAGTGCCGAACACTTTGTCAGAGAGGTCTCGCACGGCCCAACCCGCAGGGCGGGAGCGGCCGGATCTAAAGGCTACCGCCTCTGCCGCCGACCCCAATTGAGCGACGCATGAATGTTTGCTTCGTTTGTTGTCGGGGTACTTTTCCGAGCACGGCAGGAAGGGTTCAGATGAGTCTCCAGATTCTTTGTTGCATCTCAGCTTTCTTTTGGGGGCAGTTTCGGAGCCTCGTGGGATCGCTGTTGGGTCTCTTGGGGGTTTCTTGCAGCCTTTTGGGGCCTCTTGGGTGTCTATTGGGGCCTCTTGGGGGCTTCTGGGGCGGAACGTTACAATTTGTGGTTTGTGTTCCTTCTCTTGGGCCCCGAAACTCGTCAACTCTTCTCCAGATGGATGGGCGCATGGACCCCGAGGCATCCTGAGGGCTTGCCTTGGCTATCCTCCTACCTCCTGTTTCATGGAATGGGGCCAGACCAAGGCCCCTGCTGCCGTGCTACGCGAAGCTTTTCTTAGCATGCATTCTTTCTTCCGCCTGAGTGCCGCGGAAAACCCTGCCCAGCACTTCGAGGCCAGGCTTCCGGTGCTTGCTCGGAGTCACAAGGTGGCGCGCCTGATGTGGGCACAGCACCAAAGGAATTCTTGGCGGTGGCTTGTCCTCTCGCTAGCTTGCCAGCCCGCGTTCCTGCTCCCACCTGGCGCGGGGGTCATCGCGGTCATCATGGGCGCGTGGCCCCTGGACGTCGAAGCCCCCCGAGTTCCCCGACGGTTTTGTTATATAAAATGTAATACATGCATACACACATACATACATGCACACATGCATACATACGTGCATACATGCACACACATACACCGCACTCACATCTATACCCCTGGGTGGGTGTATGTGCGGCCGTTTTTGCGCTGTCATGTGCGCGCATGTGCGCGGCATGTGCCAGTCATGTGCCAGGCCTGTGCGGTCCTTCTTGGATGGACTTCCTACTGTGCACGTCGTGCCCGGGCATGTGCGGGGGCATGTGCGCTGTGTTTTGATGTATCCATCATACGCACATGCACGCACAGTCCGACGCACATGCGCGCACATGCCTGCACATGCGGGAGGTGTTCGAGAATCGCAGATCTGTCATCGGCACATGCACGCACATGCCTGTGCAACCTCTCTTCGGGAGGCCGCGCGGGCCCGCACATGCACGCACATGCGGCGAAGCGCGCGGGCGCACATGCGTGCACATCCCAATGCACATGCACGCTCATGCCCTAGGAGCTGTCTGGGACCCCTGTGCCTCCAATGCCTCCTGGCCTTCGCAGAGCTAACCTGGGGCGTGCCAGGGTTTCCTGAAAGAGTTTGTTGTGCGTTTAGACTCGCCCGCTGCTGGCGGGGGCGGTTATTCGCCCGGTTCGTGAGCTGGCGGTGGCGCGCCCGCCTAAGAAAATACTCCCGCGCGCCTTCTCAGCTCGGCCGGAGAAGCAGGGATGGGGGGGGGGGAGGTGGAGGGGGGGGGAGGGGGGGAAGCGGAGGAGGCGGGCGCCCCCGGCCACTGGCCAGCCTGCCTGTTCGGCTCGGCCAGAGGAGAAGGAGGAGGAGGAGGAGGAGGAGGAGGAGGAGGAGGAGGTGAGAGTTGCGAGGCTGTCTCAGGCGAAAGTGGCTTGACGGCCCGAGCTCAGGGAATCTCGGAATCGCTGGCCTGGCTCGGCCACTGGCGAGCTCGGCCTGTGCGAATACTGTGCGTACCTGTGCAGTGCATGTGCGGGACGTGCAAGAATGCCGGGGCCGGCGTTCGTCTCCGGACGCCGGCGCGTTCGCGTCTGGCCAGTTCCGCGTGAGACGTCGTCGGCAATTTGGAGGCCGACGTGCTTTGACATGAAGTGATCTGGCCACCTTCGCCTGAGACATCCTCGCAACTCTGGTCTCGGAGATGCCCTGCCCCATGGTGGCCCGGCCACTTTCGCTTGAGACATCCTCGGGACTCTGGGTTTCGAGACGCCCTGAGCTGAGGTGGTTAGACCACTTTCGCATGAGACATCCTCGCAACTCTGACCTCAGAGATCTCCTGCCCCATGCTGGTCAGGCCACGGTCGCCTGAGACATCCTCGCAAGTCTCGATTCCGATATGCCCCGAGCTGAGGTGGTCAGCCACTGTCGCCTGAGACATCCTCGCAACCCTGATCTCAATGATGCCCTGCTCGATAGTGTCTCGGCCCCTTTCGCCTGAGACATCCTCGGAACTCTGGGTTCCGAGACGCCCTGAGTTGAGGTGGTTCGACCACTTTCGCTTTAGACATCCTCGCCCGAGATGCCCTGAGTTGAGCTGTTCAGGCCACTTTTGCCTGAGACATCCTCGCAACTCTGACCTCAATGATGCCCTGCTCCATAGTGTCTCGGCCTTTTTCGCCTGAGACCCTCGCAACTCTGGGTTCTGAGATGCCCTGAGCAGGTGGTCAGGCCAGTCCTGCCTGAGACATCCTCGCAACTCTGGGCTCCGAGATGCCCTGGGCTGAGGTGGTCAGACCACTCTCCCCAGAGACATCCTCGCAACTCTGACCTCAGAGATCTCCTGCCCCATGGTGGTCAGGCCACTTTCGCTTGAGACATCCTCACAACTCAGACCTCGGAGGTGTCCTGCCCCATGGTCGTCTGGTCACCTTGACCAGCGACATCCTCGCCACTCTGGTTTCCAAGATGCCCTGCCCCATGGTGATCCTGCCACGCTTGCCTGAGACATCCTCGGAACTCTGGGTTGCGAAATGCCCCGAGCTCAGGTGGTCAGGCCACTATCGCCTGCGACATCTCTGCGGCATGTGCGGGCATGTGCGTCTATGCTTTCAGAGTTTTGCTTGACCGTGCATTCGACTGTGCGTCGGACGGTGTGGCATGTGCGCGCATGTGCGGCAATGCTGTTGAGGCTTTTGTATATTTGCATGGGCATGTGCATGCGACTGTGCGGCATGTGCCTGCATGTGCGGC